TTTTCCTACAACGCGCCCCGACAATGCGAAGTAATGTAGGACATATATTCCACAGGGGCCTGAGCAGCGGAGGACATCAGAGGAAGTTCCTTACTATAGCGCTGCCTGTGATTTAATACAACATTGAGTAAACAAAACAACGGGAGCAGTACTGGGGAGGCGCTATAAGAGCTGTTCTGGGATCAGGGAGAGAGACAAAAGGACTGGAGTAGTACTGGGGAGGCGCTATAAGAGCTGTTCTGGGATCAGGGAGAGAGACAAAACGACTGGAGCAGTACTGGGAAGGCGCAATAAGAGCTGTTCAGAGGTCAGTGATAAAGAGACTTCAGAGGGGAGGAGAGAGAGAGAGAGAGAGAGAGAGAGAGAGAGAGAGAGAGAGAGAGAGAGAGAGAGAGAGAGAGAGAGAGAGAGAGAGAAAGAGATGTGTTTATATGACATCATCATAGAGGGAGGACATAAAGCTTGATATGATTCATTACATCACCCAGTGCTCCAGTATCAACCCTAGTGTTACATCTATGGAGAATAGGTAACCGCTAAGCATGGCTAACATCATCAGCTCCTAAAAGAGATTCATAATTACATACTTACCAATCTCAAAATACAAATCAGTAAACAGCAATTAACACAGACACTGATCCCCATGATAAGATGGAGTCTGAGTGTGTCTGATGTGCGTCTAAAGATCCTACAGGGAATTATTGGTGATTTGTATTGGTAAATGTAATGGCTTGTGCACAAGCTGCATCTAGGCTACAGAACTCTTCTCTGTAGCTGAGAGGAGTCTTTGTATGTATGTATGTATGTATGTACGTATGTAATTTATGTGTGTGTGTGTGTGTGTGTGTGTGTGTGTGTGTGTGTGTGTGTGTGTGTGTGTGTGTGTGTGTGTGTGTGGAGCTAACTGGGTCATAGCAGGAGGTTTAACACATTTTAGCTATGCTTCTGAGGGGGACATTTTATCGGGAGAGCTAGAGGGAGTCTTGATATAGACTCTAACTAACACCCAGTCAAAGCACCACGCCGAAATGTGGTTGGCAGTTAAGCTCAAAGAACGTTTATGTAGTGCCGATTTTAGAGGAATTTCCAAAGAGATGGGAAAAATGCCCCGTGAGAATATAACAGAATCGTATGACGCGACACAACAGTGACATTCAGAGAAATTCCCTCACCAAGATAGAATGTAGACTCTTATCTTTTCCACCGCTAGAGCATCATTTGATTTCTTAAAACGCACTGACACATTAATGTTAGATGATGATAGACTGGCCAACTGTTGATGAACACGGGCTCTCAGTTTAATTAAGTTTCTGGGCCTCGCACAATTTATTTTCATCTAAATCAATTATCATCTGCAAGTCAAATAGCCTATACCTATTTTTAAGGCAGGGATTTCATTTTCCAAACCCTAAGATTAATAACTCTTAAATAAAACTCAGTTTCAATTCCACTCCCTAGATTTATTTTCCTGCCAGGGAGGAGAACACCAGCACTCATTTTACAACATAACAAAACAGCCTTTCCGTTTCAAACAGGTTTTTTCTGCATTTGAATGCATTGGTGGTGGTGCAGACATGAAACCCCTCTCTCTCTAAAGCCGACCAATGTTATTTCAGAGTCCTCTGAGTTCTTTACACGTTGCACCACTGTTCCCTTCAAGCCTCTACCAGCTCCTATACTCTATATGTCTCTTAGACACATCAGGGGTGCCCCAAGGGTTCCTCTCTAGTAGTCTACACTCTTAGAAAAAGACCACAGTCTTTTGGTTCCAGGTAGAATCCTTTTTGGTTCCAGGTAGAACCCTCTGTTCTACATGGAACACAAAATGGTTCTACCTGGAACCAAAAGGGTTCTACCTGGAACCAAAAGACTGTGGTCATGACAGAGGGCCAGATTGGATTCTGGGTAGTGGTATTAGACAGGACATACGGTATAGAATGTGATATTAATACTGAACCCTGACTGAATAATACAGGCTGCTAGTTACTATGGCAGAGTGAGAGGTATTTTTTCTCACTGTTTCCCCTCCCTCCCTCCCTCCCTCTCTGTTTCTCTCATCTCTCTCTCTTACAGTCTTGTCATCACAATGAATCTCCTCCTGTGTTTAACACCCACCGCCTATGGCCTCATCTAATCTGCACTTTCAAATGGGAACCAGTCGCAGGGACACGGGGGGCAAGGGGGACATTAAATATTGAAACACCAGCTAATTAAGGCCGGGGTGAGGGAGTCAGCATTAAGGCCGGTGAGTCGATTGCTGCTGGTCGTGATCTATGGACAGAGAGATGGAGAGAGAGAGAGGAGAGAGAGAGATGCGGAACTTTGAAGGAAGATGGAGGGAGAGGATGAGGGGATGCTTTGTAACACTACACACGTAGAAAAAGCGTCTGTCCAAATTCAATACAGCTCCTCCCAAAGATCGTGCCACGACAAAATAGGTTGGTGATGCACTTCACTATGGCAGCCCCTTCAATCAGCAACTGAGATGACTGTCTGGTTGTGAGTGTGTGGGGGGCGTGATTCTCATCTTAACACCTTGAATACCAGGGGGATGGAGCGTTGTGTGTGTGTGTTCCTTTGACAGGGAACAGAATCGCCCAGGACACCTAACCTAACAGCCCACTGTGACGAACGCAGTGATGACTGGTGACACACACATACACCCAGACACACAGGAAGTGACAGCACAGTCCTGTGAAATCAGTGTATCACACTGAGACAGAGGGTGTATTGAAACAGACAGTTAGTCGGAATTCCCAAACAAAGAAGTTTGGCTGTGAATATTCCCCATTTCACAGTAGGATGTGCCAGTAAGCCTATATCATTACGTTGAGACTATATATATATATATATATATATATATATATATATATATATTAAAATCATTTAATAATTTCATTACTCTTAATAACGATGTGGAGGAAACAAGGTTTATGTAATATTTTTAAGCAGACATTTTATCCTAAGGAAAAAAAGTATGTTTCAGACGATTCTAAAATAGACTAGATAAATTGAACGTTTTTATTAACTTTATGTAAGCAGACTCATCATTCCATTTGCTCTGCTTAACCCATACATTTCACATCACTGGATTTGGAATGTAGACCTACCTACCTCTCACAATGATTGGCTTTGGAGTGTAAATGCATCATAAAAATAAAAATCTGTCTTATGTACTAATTGACTTACACATAAAAACATGCATTTAGAAAAATGTTCTTAGTACTAATTTGTCTTCTCTAAAAGAAGCCCACAGTAATTTACAGATTTTGTGATTTTTACTTTAACTGTGCCTAATCCAATCAAAGATGTAAAACACAGAATTTAAAAAATCTAGCAAGTGAAAGATTCTACATTTAAACAATTTTGAAAAGGAACAGTTTTTAAGTCTTTGATAGCAACTATATTTCTTCTCCGCAAATATTCAACCGTCTAATTTAGAAGTTATTTTTTTGTCCTAGCTTTGATAAGCATTTTAATATAATCTAATTTGAATGAGAGATTATAGGGAGAGGAAAGGGGCTTGAATAATGTGGAGTACTGTATATATACACTAATTTGTGCTTTGGATAAATTTCACCACTCTATCAAGGACATTCTTTAGGGAAAAGGTTGTATAAAGCCCATCGACAACTAATCCACAACGAGTACACATCTCCACCTCTCTACTATTGTCTGCTGATACATCCTGAACAACGTCCCTTGTGGTTTCAAACGGCCTTCTACTGCAGTTTTCAGAGGTGATGCACTTATTGAAACAAAACACTGTTCCTGATGATATAGTATGTACAACTAAACATATACAACATCAGAATATTCATGTTTTGAATCAGAGCAAGTCAAAAAGCGAACATTTCATATACGAACAGAATACGAACAGAATGGTAAGAAGAAAAAAAAAAGAGTATTATGATTCCATAAAGGACATGACAAGCTGGGTGTTTCATGAGGATGGTTCACAGACCAATTGGAAGATTAACTTGAAATAGAGACCTCAAAGCTCTTCTGATTATTCACGCTCTCAATCGTTTCCAGTCCCCATAGAGCAGCTATCATCTGCAATATTGCTTCAAACAGCCCCTTTACCCATCCTCAAGCGATGTCTGATATCACATTGAAACTGAGGAACTCGCACTGTGGGGATGCATGCAGCTACCGCTCTCTTGAAACACCTGTCAAGGAATTCAGAAAAAACTGCTCGGATGTAGATCAGTTTTCGACCTTGAGGTTTTTTAATCCAAAACGAAGAGAACAGAGACTAAATATAGCTAGAGCACCTAAACGCACACAGGTCCAGTGTTATATTGTATATAAGACATACGGAAATGAGCACAGCAGAGTTTTTCTACTTCTTCTTTATCAAGACAAAATAAGTAGTTACCCATTGAAAATAAAATCTACAAAATGAAGAAAAACAAGAATAATATATCAATCTTATAAATAGAGGTTGTTCAATACACCCGGAACGTAATCGTACTGTATATATACCAAAATGCACCCACTGCACTGAGAATTTGTGATATTTAGTTGCACATCTGTAAAAGGTATGATACTGACAGTAATATATGTAGGTACACCCAAAGATCAGTACCATGTACAGTATACACCAGGACTTCATAGTGGGAAAATGAGTTATGACTGCCAGAAGTATTAACACACATGCGTTTCACTAAGACATTATTATTGCCATTTTTCATTTTTAAATACTGTTAGAATCTCTCTCTCTCTCTCTCTCTCTCTCTCTCTCTCTCTCATCTAAAACATATGTTCATAACAACTACATAATTTAGCTTTTTGTTTTGCCCTCTTCCTTTGATAATCATCAACCTTATATAAGGTAACATTGTATACCACAACATCCGACCAGTAGGGTTAGGGAGAGATCCCAATATCCACACTTTGCTTGGCATCGGAGGAACCTTAACAAGGGGTGAACCAGCGTGCTTTATAGGGGAGTCAGCTGATGGTGTGGGCTACATCCAGCCCGCTGCTTCTCCTTCTCACTCCAGCACGGCGGTAGGGGGAGGGCGCGCGCAGCACTTGGGCCGTCTGACATTTTTCATCATGGACCTGAAAACGTTCTGCTGCCTCCTCTTGTTTTTCCTGCTGTTGGCGTCGTCCGCGGCGATGGTGGCGGGCGAGTCGGGCACCACCGGCGGCACTGAGATGGACTTCCTGAGTGATGACTGGGTCACGACCTTCTTCTCTTGCTCTTTGATCTTACACTGCAGGTGGCTCTGGATGGCAAAGCCCAGGGACTCGGGATCAACGGATGCTCCGTACACCTCCCAGGTCATCCCCTGCTCGTCCCACAGCACATCATGCACGCTCTTCTCTCCTTTCTGTTTCCCTTCCTCATCTTCTTCTTTCCTCTCTGGCTCCAGCTGCTTCTTCTTGCCCAACAAAGCCTTAACTCCCCCGACCCCCTTAACGATGCTCTCCTTCGCCGCTTTCACTGCCGTCTTGGGTTTAGTGTCCTCTGCTTTTTTGGAGGTTGGTGTTGAGGCCTGGCTGGGCTTGGTAACGGAAGAAGCTGACTGCGAAGGAGGAGGAGCAGCCTTATTGTCAGAGGATTTGGTCTTGCTTGCGGCAGTTGGCGACGAGGGGGGTGATTCTAGTTTTGAGGATGGAGCTTTAGCAGAGGGAGGCTTGGCAGCCTGCGTTGGCACGGCCTGCGCTTCATTAGACACTGTTGGTTTCTCTGCTGCATTGGGCTTGGATTGGGAGTCTGCTGCTGCCTTCTCGCCTCGATGCTGGTGATGATTCGCGTTAGCTTCAGGCTCGTTTTGGCTGCCGCATGGCTCGATGTTGATCTGGTAGACGGGCTGCAGAGGCGGGAGCGCTCCTCTCTGCTGGATGTTGCATAGTGCTGCTGCCCCCCCAACCGCCGGATCTTTAGGCTTGGCCCCCAGCCTGGCGACCTCTGCATGGAGGGCCGCCACCGCCTCCTCTGCATGAAGCACCACCCCGGCACTCTGACTGGAGCATGACCCCGCCTCCAGGGTCAATCGCTCTGACCCGGACCTGAGACCTGCGGTGTAGTTAGGCGGCGGGGGGCATGATAGATTGCTGCCCATGTGAATCTGGTGTGAGGGCACCTGGTAGACCACAGACAGGCTCTCAGCTGCTGCTTCCTCCCTCAGGGCAGCACCTCTGTTGGTGGCCTTGTAGGGCGGGGGCAGAGGAAACAGGCTGGGGCTGGTGGAGACCGCCCGGCTGCACACGTTAGCCACCGCTTGGACCTCCACGTCTTGGCCCTGCTTGCTATGGGTGGGGGTGGCGGTGGGGGTGCGGGTCATGGTGGAGGCCTCCCGGTATAGTTTGCAGTGGGCTTTCTGTTGCATCTCCTCCGAGGCCGAGGCAGTCTGGACGGCTTCGTCTGCCACCTGTGCTGCATGGTGGGCAGGCTGCTGGCTCTGGCTCCATTGGGCCTCAGGCTGCTGGTTCTGGATCTGTTGGGCCTCAGGCTGCTGGTTCTGTTGGGCCTCGTTGGGTGACGAGGGAGGATCCTTCTGTGATGGAGACTCTGACGATGCCGCCTGCAGGTGTTTATCTAAGGAGATCTGTGTGTTTGCTACTGGAGTAGGTTTTAAATCCTTCTTCTCGGGAGGTGCCGGACTTGAGGTCTTATTCTTAAGCCCTACGTTTGCCTTGCTGTCTGATGATGGAGGCGTGATGGGGATGGTGGTGGCAGCATTGCCAGGAGCTACTTCAGTCTCCTTGGTCTGTTCCGGCTGCGATGTCTCTGCCGTTTTATTATATTCCGTTTGGGAGGGAGGGTTCTGAGAGTTTGTCTCGGGCGTGTTTCTTTTAGAGGCCTGTAGAGGGCGTTCTGATGGAGTAGGGTTGGTGGTGGTGGTGGTGGCGGTGGCGGTGGCCGAGCTAGGTAAAGGTGAGGGACTCTGTGTTGTAGTACTATTATCAGCCTCTTTTGATTTGAAGGGAGGCGGAGCAACCTTGTTTGTGGTCACTGCAGCGCCCTCTGCCTTACCTTGTTTGGGAGTCGTCAGAGACGTCAGCGCTTCAGAGGACGAGGTATGCTTTGGATCACAGGTCTGAGGGGGATGTTGATTTGGTGTGTTTTTGTCGTCCCCTACTACCAGTGACTCCTTATTAGCTACTGCAGAGACGGCTGTAGCGCTCTGTACTGCTGTGGGCTCTGGTGCTGGCTGGGGCTCCGCACACCCCTCCCCCGTCCCCGCACCACCGGGCTCTTTCGCTCTGCAGTAATCTGTCTGCGCGTCAACCTTTGATGATGTAACGGCGGACGACAGGCCGGCCTTACAGAAATGCTTCTCCTTCTCCTCGTCGGTGGCTGTGGGGGTTAACGCTGTCAAATTGGCGTTGCCGTCCCTATGGCCCTCTGCCGTCGCCTCGGTTACACTCACACCTCCTCGACATGTCAGAACCATCTGCTGCTCTACTCCAATCACATGCTCCGATGGCGATTTCCCTCCGTCGCCATTGGTCGAGAAAGGTGTGTTGGTGTTGGACCCCACCCCTCCGCTGACCGGCTGTCCATTGCCTGTTGATTGGATCCTGGAGGTTGTATTGGTGGATATCAGACACAGGTTATCCTGTGTGTGTTCTGTAGGGGTAGGTGTAGGGGCAGGGCAACCCTGGGTGAGGTTGAGGTTAGGTTCCTTAGCCCAGTTGGCGTTAGACTCCTGGTTTCCCAGAGTGTCCACTCCAGCCAGCTGAGGGACCATTTGGACTGTCACTGTCCTTTTTGGGTTAGTTCCCATTCTGTATTGAGACAGTCCTCTTAGTCACTTCTACTGTAGGGATCCAAAGTTGAACCAGGTGTCCACAATCCTATCCCTGTCTATGTGTGTAATTCCCTATAAAGTAGGAAAATAGAATAGTTTTAGTTTCAAAGAAGAAGTATGAACAATACATTAGATCATTCCATGTAGATAATAATATTATACTATAAGTCTTATATTAGTAGAGGATGATGATCTTGGTAATGTCTTTCTCACTCTTGCATTTTACATCATGACCTCAAAGGTGATATCGAATACCCAAAAAGACGTGAGACTTTATTAGAATTGTTTTATAAACAGAAAGACATTTTAACTTGAAATTAGAAAACCAACATGATGAGCAATGAGGAACTGTTATACCGCAGTGTAGATCACTCCAAAAAACATTTATGGATATTTTTATTAACTAGACTTTCATCCTCGAGACCAGACATCAGATCGAGAAGTGACCAATGAGGCAATACACTGAAACGATGGGAGTTGACACACCTTCGCTTATTCCTGACTCCCAGTATTACATTTACATTTTACATTTGAGTCATTTAGCAGATGCTCTTATCCAGAGCGACTTACAGTTAGTGAGTGCATACATAATTTTTTTAGTATCCATCACAATAAAGACTGTGCGCCAACTACCGCATCAGAACTGAATGAATAAACTGAATCTGTAAACAAAGCAATAGATAATAGCAATAACTCCAAATTACTAACAATAAGCCAAAGGTAATGCTGCTTCAAAACTGACCTAAACTGTTTTGCTGCTCAGAGATCGTTGGCCTTTCCTGTTTTCATTCCAGTAAGTACATTTCATTTTTATGTGTCTCTGATGACTGCAAACTGATTTGAAATGATGGACCATGAGCACTCCAAGTCCCTTTGGATCAGAGAAGATAGATCAATGCCAAAACTAAGATTAACTATGCCACAATTTTTGCTCAAAAACTAATGGAATATGAAAGACGACAGTAATCTCAAACACTTACTACACACTTCAACCAGCTTGAGTGAATTAAAAAATAATTTATTGAATTATCCTTAAGTTGGGACAGAGGCATTGACTTTGCAATCACAACAAGTGAAAGCAATAGTGTAGCCTTAGTTACACGTTTGATTTTACCATTTAAAAAATGTATATAACCCAATGCCCCAGGGCAGTGATTGGGGACATTGCCCTGTGTAGGGTGCTGTCTTTCGGATGGGACGTTTAATGGGTGTCCTGACTCTCTGTGGTCACTAAAGATCCCACGGCACTTATTGTAAGAGTAGGGGTATTAACCCCGGTGTCCTGGCTAAATTCCCAATCTGGCCCGTCATACCATCATGGCAACCTAATCATCCCCAGCTTCCAATTGGCTCATTCATCCCCCTTCCTCTCCCCTGTAACTATTCCCCAGGTCGTTGCTGTAAATGAGAATATGTTTTCAGTCAACATACCTGGTAAAACAAGGCTTAAATAAAGAGCTATCAGACACTTAATTTGAGCCAGTTTCCTACAGCAGGAAAATAATCCAGCAGTAATAGGAAATGTGAATTATTTTGTGGACTATAATTAATGGAACTTTTTGTAGGGGTTGATACATTTTTCATTAGGGCAAATCAAGCCTGAATTTTCAAAGTGGAAATTGCAAACTTTAGAATCCTTTTTAAAACTAAAATAAAGAGCGATCAAAATAAGATCCTACATCTGTATGACATAAGTCCTTTTAAAAAGTTCTGAAATGAGCCATCTGCTAGCCTCAAACACAGACCTCCGTGTGTTTGTTTCTCTCTTCTGTTGCAACATCTCCCCTGAAGCTACAGCAACAGAGCTGTTTATTGTGGACATAGATAAGACATTAAACCATTTTGGGGAGATTTCAAATTCCCTTCAATTAGCCCATTGGATTTTTCCAATATTCTTCATTCATCATAGAGTCAAAGAGTTTGTTCATTTTCGACTCTGTGATCTTATTTTCCTCGTCATCATTCTCCAGGTTATGGGATTTAAAAATTTAAAAAGCAATCCTCATTAATAACAACGTAAATGTCTTCTCGACGGGTTATCCTTATCCTTCTAAATCAGACACTTTAGTTACTGAATGTCCTAGCCAGGCTACTAAATATTCCATTTGGAATTGTAGGCTCAAATAAATCAGAGTGTATTGGCTTGTATGTAGGCCAAACGCACACACCATCCGAAAATACATCTCAAGCAGCGTCTAAGCCTGCAGCTGCAGACTCCAGACAGAGAGAAATAGAAAGAGTGAGTGAGCAGCGGCCCACTCAAAAAGAAATCAGATTTATGAAAGGTACTAACTAAATGGCCATGGTATTTTTAGTACAGAAGGAAAACAGGATGGCTTGTATAGTCCTGAATGCTTGAGATGTGATTTGTCAGATTGGATTTTCCATGCCACACAGTTGGCAAACGTGTACAGTATATTTGCACTATAAGAAAGTGACCTATTACTATGGCACCACTCTCTGGCTGCCTTGACAAGTGGCTCTGGCAGTCAGACGAAATCATATCCAACCCCTTGGAGGTGTGAAGTGATATGATGGTTCCCTGTGCAGTCGTTCTTCAATGGCCGACCGCGCTTTCAGGAATCAACTCTCCTGTAATAATTGAACCAGGCTCGTACAGTGCCGAAATGAAGAAAAGGAACCAGAGCGACTCAGCACTCACACAGACAGACTGTGTGGGACTCCTTTAACTGTCACTGATAACGTTCACATCCTATAAAATGATGTTATCCATCAAGACTATGTAGTTTATCTCAATCAAAATTAGATGATGACTTCAAGCATCTGTTGTTCTGGAATTCTGTGTCCTGGGGTGTTGTTTTTAGGCCTCACTATAAATCATCATCATCATCATTAAGTGTTTTCTCAGCCAAGGAAAGGTTAGTCTTCTTTTGGGCGTATCCAAATTGCCAGAACCTGTGACCTTATATTTTCTGCACAAAACAATAAATAGGCCCGTATTCATAAAAAGTAAGCGTGAGAGTTAAAATGCTGATCTAGGATCAATTTAGGATCAATATTCCATATAACAAAACTGTGGGTTTAAGTTTCTCTGTGTCAGAGTGCATTTTGAGGGGAGAGGTAGAGGGATAGACTAGTCACTTCTTTATTCAGGGCCCATATTGATTCATAAAGCCCCTCAGAGTAGGAGTGCTGATCTAGGATCAGGTCCCATCTGTCCATGTAATCTTCTTCATTATGATCTAAATTACTAAACTGATCCTAAATCAGCATTTTTACTCTCACGCTTACTCTTAATGAATATTGGCCTTGGTTACTTGAAGCAGGAGGCGACTGTATCCTACAGGAAGGGGTCAGTGTGTCCTCTGCCTCATGTAGAGTAGCTGTGGGGTCTCCCATCAGGAGTTCCATCACCCCATGCTAATATCGAAGATGAGCGAGTCTCAAACTATTCATTTGAGACACGGGAGCATATAAATACGACTTTGTTATTCGATTTGTCTTGTTTCTTATTTCGATGGGAATTCAGTGGAATAAACCAAGCAGATCAATCAACAAGGTGGTAAATAAGATCCAGTGAGGTACACTACATGACCAAAGGTATGTGGACACCTGCTCGTCGAACATCTCATTCCAAAATAATGGGCATTAATATGGAGTTGGTCCCCCCTTTGCTGCTATAACAGCCTCCACTCTTCTGGGAAGGCTTTCCACTAGATGTTGGAACATTGCTGCAGGGTCTTGCTTCCATTCAGCCACAAGAGCATTAGTGAGGTCGGGCACTGATGTTGGGCGATTAGGCCTGGCTTGCAGTCGGCGTTCCAATTCATCCCAAAGGTGTTCGATGGGGTTGAGGTCAGGGCTCTGTGCAGGCCAGTCAAGTTCTTCCACACCAATCTCGACAAACCATTTCTGTATGGACCTCGCTTTGTGCACGGGGGTATTGTCAAGCTGAAACAGGAAAGGGCCTTCCCCAAACTGTTGCCGCAAAGTTGGAAGCACAGAATCGTCTAGAATGTCAATGTCATTGTATGCTGCAGCACTACGATTTTCCTTCACTGGAACTAGCCCGAACCATGAAAAACAGCCCCACACCATTATTCCTTCTCCACCAAAATGTACAGTTGGCACTATGCATTGGGGCATGTACCGTTCTCCTGGCATCTGCCAAACCGAGATCTGCAGTCAGACTGCCAGATGGTGAAGCGTGATTCATCACTGCAGAGAACGCATTTCCACTGCTCCAGAGTCCAATGGCGGTGAGCTTTACACCACTCCAGCCAACGCTTGGCATTGCACATGGTGATCTTAGGCTTGTGTGCGGCTGCTCGGCCATGGAAACCCATTTCATGAAGCTCCCGACTAACAATTATTGCGCTGACGTTGCTTCCAGAGGCAGTTTGGAACTCGGTAGTGAGTGTTGCAACCGAGGACAGACTATTTTTATGCACTTCAGCACTCGGTGGTCCCGTTCTGTGAGCTTGTGTGGCCTATCACTTCGCGGCTGAGCCGATGTTGCTCCTAGACATTTCCACTTCACAATAACTGCACTTACAGTTGACCGGGGCAGCTCTAGCAGGGCAGAAATTTGATGAACTGACTTGTTGGAAAGGTGGCATCCTATGACAATGCCACGTTGAAAGTCACTGAGCTCTTCAGTAAGGCCATTCTACTGCCAATGCTTGTCTATGGAGATTGCATGGCTGTATGCTCGATTATACACACCTGTCAGCAACGGGTGTGGCTGAAATAGCCAAATCCATTAATTTGAAGGGGTGTCCACATACTTTTGTGTATATATGTATATATATATATAGTGTATATTATTGCTAATCAATACAATATGGTGGTCCAAACAGGACATAGATTGTGTGAACACCTGACAGAATCATTCATTGGTAATAAATTAGGCTAATACTGATATTACTGATAAAACAGCTGAAATACTGGTTTTAAAAGCCCAATGCAGTAAAATAAAA